TCCCAAAATAAAACAATGAACTATTTTGTGAAGCTTGTTCTGGGCCCACCACAAAATAAAATTTTTCTTGCTACTATTCCATACTGTCTTGATAAATGAAATAATCTGTAATTCAGCAAAGGAGGAATGCACCAGATTTTAGAAGCAGCAGTACCAGCAACAGCCAATTCCTTTGTCATTAGGCAGTAAGTAATTGTAGCAAGCAAGGAAGTGCACATTACAGAAATCTGGCTAATAACATGGGTCTATATGAAATGCAGTAGCAACAAGACATAGTCTCAAACTCTGTCTTCCTTGCAGGCTGCATCTTTATATAAAGCAATTCAGGAGCTGCCTCAAAGGTACTGAAGGTTTAAAAAGCAGAAGAAAAAAAGAAGTCCAAAATATCATATTCTAACATTACTTATCCCCTGAAATTGTTAAATTCTAAATTGGACTGAAGTAATCTGATAGATCATAAAACTAGGATGAAGAAACCCCAAATATAATCACACATGCACATTCATTGTGGATTATGGGCCAAAAGGGAACCCTGACATCATTTCATGTGCCCTTCTATCATGACGATCCATCATTCAGCCCAGTGCCAAGTACTTAGTGATCATCACTTCGCCTTCCAAGTATAAAAAGAGGGTGATGCTACTTCACATTAATAATGTGCTTTGACGAAAATAAAACACAGCATGCTCCAAGTACCTTTCTTACCTTGAAAAGAGAAGTACATTTTTAATTTCTGGTACCACATCCATGCACTGACCCACTGCAAGGGCAGGGGAGCAGATTTACATCGGAGGCCTTCTGAACTGCCTCACACCAAGCAGCTTGTTAAAAACCAGAAATCCTCAGAAGAACAAATCACCAGCAACACGTGCAGTGCCACCTTACCTCAGCAGAAACTCTCCAGGAGGCTACAAAGAAATTACACTGTACTGACTTCCCAGTGTTTTCCTGACACCCAGCAGTGACTGAGCAGCCTTATTTTCATCTTTGAGAAAAGCTACACATGTTGGCCTGTACACAGAACAGCCAGGTGGGCCAGGCTTAGATGGAAATATTTCTGCCCATTAAACATGCAGTTCTAGCATTAGCATCCTGAAGACAACACTGATCTGGGCAGTCAATTAGAACAAAAATAAACAACATCAGACTGTCATTAACTCAAGCAAATACACCACTGTGTACGTGGTTCTGAGCTACTCTCTGCTTCAGTCCTCATTATCAGTTTTCTACTCCTGAACACAACATCGGTTTTATATCAGCTGTTTATTAACAGGACTATTATTTTCTTAAAACAGCAGCAGAGATTTGGACATACAAAATTATTTCCTTCAAAATTGCATTTGAATGCTTTTATATTATTTTAATATAAAAGAAAAAAAACCCAAATCCCTTCCTTCCCTAGAACCACAACCAGTCTGGTGCTGCCTGGCATCACCACGCTTACACACCAGAAGTGTGTCTGCGTGGCTGCAGCCCGGTGAACACTCCTCACACCCACCCTCCCAGCTCTTCTGGCATCAATCCCAGGCAGGGAAAAGGCTAAAATGAGGGTGCATCCCTCAGGAAAGGGAGTCACAGCCCTCAGAAGGTTACTGTGCCTGCCCACCCCAGCCAGGTCCATCTCATTGCTGTAGGTCCCTCCCTGGGGGAGCAAGGAAGTCCCCACCAGGATGAAACAAGGAACAAGTTCCCAATGGGAAAGTCACAATGGGAAGCGGTGGTGCTTGTTTGATACTGAACAAACAAGCACCACCACGTGCTGAGGTGACCATTGTCAACAGAGGGATGCCACTGCAGCTCTCACTTCCTCAGCTCAGCATCACATAAACTGTCTCTTGTCAGGTTGTTGGAAACAACACAGCAGCTAATCAATCCCTGAAGGAGTTGCCCATGAGGCAGGGGCCAGCTCACATACAGCCCTCTAACTGCACCTGCACCAGGTGCCATGGAATAGCACCTACCCCAGTTCCTCATGCTCTGGAAGCTCATCCACTCACAAGAGCCCTCATCTGGGGAGACACAGTTATTGAACATGTCCTGTCTGTTTTACAGGACTTCCTTGGAAGAAAATTCATACCTGATTTAACACTAAGACGTTCAAGAACCAAGGGACAAAAGAAGAAAAGAAAATCCCACAAAGCCCATGTACTACACAAAGCTAAGGACAACATCTACTTTGAAGAACGGCAGATGTGGATGCACTGCTCCTAAAAATGGACCAGAACAGATCATCACACCCTACGCTAAGCCAGGCAAACAAGGGGCTGACTGCCCAAGGGGTTCAACACCCAAAGACAGCCATGTGCCCTGTATCTGCAAGGAGACTGCAGCCACAGGCATGCCAAGCACTGGTGAGAAACAGGAGCAGCACACGCTTCACCAATATGACTGGGCAGAAAAACCTCTCAGCGCTTAGCTGGGCTTTCTATTTTAAGAACTGGTATGATTCACGTTACCTTGGCTCTAAGTGTTTTTCAGTCTTCACCATATCTACCCTCATGATAAGCTCATATTAAGCAAGCACTAAAAGCCCTGACATTTCAGAGCTGCAGAGCAGCCATACATCACGCTGGAGCCTCCAGCATCAGCAAGCAGCTGCATCCAGGTCTCCCAAGTGCATATTCTGTGACCTTGTCACTCACTGCCCTTCCTGTGCTGATGCACATGTGGAAAAATATAGCAGAAAAATCCTTGTGATGCACTAAGTATTGTTCTGCTGTTGCACAATGATGAAACTGCAGGGAGAGGGGAGATGGGGACAAAAGAAACCCCACAGAAGTATCCCTACTTAACTGAAAATTAAGCAATAACCAGCATTAGACTAGTTCAAGTGAAGCTCCACTTTGCCCCATCTGCCTGATGCTGCCAGCAGTTGCCCACTTGTATCTTCTTCTTTTCTTCAGCTGTACTAATGCATGCTTTCACGACAAAATACAGTACTAGTATTGCAGCTAGATCACAGGCAGGAAATATTACCAAAGAAGGAAGGATCTAGAAATGTATGTGCTATTTGGGATTATGAAAAACAACTTTTCTATTAATAGCATAGGCAACACAGTTCTTATATCCTACAAAATACTTGCTTAAAATAATAATTTAATTTTTTTGTACTTGCTAATAAATACATTAAAGTAGGTTTCACTGTTCTTGTTTTGTTCTTTTCAAATCTCAAATAAAAGAATCAACAACAGCAGCCTGCACTAAATATTTTATCCGTTTCAACTCATTTTTTTTGTTACTTATAATGCTTTGAAGAGGCTAACCACTTCACTGCAAAATTTTGCATCACCAACAAAACCTGAAGGATTGTAAAAGGCAGAAAACATCAATATGCATCTTTATACCCTACACAAAGAAAGTAAGAACACAATTATTTTCCTGCAGGAAACATTAGGTTGATAATTTCTTTCCTTATCTGCCAAGAAATGGCTGTCATTTACAAGCTGAAATAAATCTGTATGCTAAAGTTTTACTCGAGTAAAAAGAGTGCACCAAGGGGATCATTGGATAGGAACAATTAAAGGACATGTACTGCCACAGCCAGAACTCTAAACAGTATTTGGAGTATTTCAAATCTCTGGTTGAATACTCACATTCTTCTAGATTTTCATTTCACACAATATGTATATGCAATTGCATTATTATTTTGGTTCTCCATGTCAAAACATCACAGCACGAGAAAACATTTATTATAAAGTTTTTTAAAATACTTTTTAGTTTAGGTTAGTTTTTTTAAAAAAACCTTTGTAGAGATTAAAAATCTGTTTCAGTAACTAATGATTTAAAATTGATTTTAATGTCTGGTTAATTAAATTAATGTTATGTACTACAATCTGTAATATATAACACATCAGAGGACACAGAGGATCTTTCAGTCAAAGACTTAAAATAGATTTATAAAAATAAATACCATTCCAGGTTTCTCTATATCACCAAACTGAGGTGGAGAAAAAACACTATGAAAGATGTACTGTGGCCAACTGATGTTTGTCCATTTTATTTTTATTTTTCTGCTATGTACAAAGTAGAGGCAGAAACAAGTATTTTTCTCTGTCACAACACAAGCTGCAGCAATGACTAAATAAGTAACACACTTGTTCACGGGGGTGATACTACCCTGAAAAGAGAAAAGGACAATTCTATTTGCCCAAGGTTTCAAAAGTGCCACATCTTGTTTGGGAAAGCAGTCAAGAGATGCATCCTGAAAACCACATAAGGCTCCATTTCTCATCAAATGGCCAAGTTGAAGCCAAAGTAGTTTAATATTTTTAGTGAGGGGACACACTGATCAGGACTGACCATTAACAGTCCTCTAAATTCCTCCTTCCTCTTCTGTTCTGTGGGAATAAACAAGATTTAAACAACTAAGACTAGGTCAACGCTATTCTACTGTTCCTTGTAGAAAACATGTCCTTCTCAAGCTGTGCTGAAGCTGAGCTGATGCACGTGGCTTTTTTGGCACAGGAGAAAAGGTTCCAACCCACAGAGTGGATCACAAAGAACATGGGGACTTGAACGGGGCGACTCAAAGTAAAGGAGAACACTCTCCATCCCCTGAGGATAAGGAACTATCCACAGCTGACCTTCCAAAACTGCCAAGGTGTGAGGACATGAGTCTGCCTCCAAAGCAGGTCTCTTGTCTTCACTCCTGTACTGGCAAGAATGGAAATGCCGACAAGCCATAGAAGTAGGAAGGTGTTTCACTACATGTTTACTCATTTGCTAAGAGCTACAAGATGCTGCAGCTGCTGCAATTGAATCCCATGCTGTCAAGTACAGTACTAAAATCTCTGCTGAGAAACAGGAAAAGAGGTTCCAACTGAAAGTACAACTATGAAACTGAACAAAACAAACAAAACCACCTTTACAGCAGCATCACTCTTAAGACTCCATGATGCAATGCAAAACCTGCAGCAGGTATGTTTTGTACACGCAACTCCACCTGGTCAGGGAGGTTTTCATAAACCTGTAAAGAAGCTGCCTTCTCTGCAGGCTCTTACCTTGCCCAGCTGCAGGACAAGGGGCAGACTGCAGCTGTACCAGTTACCAGGGGCTCTGCAAAGGAGAGAAGGCACAATCAAGCCTGCACTTGGGCTGGGGCAGAATAAAACCACCCCAGACTCAAGCTATCCACCTCCCAAGCTCTGCAACACCAGAAGTGACTGGCTGTTCACAGAGAAGCTGTGATATGGTAGCAGATCACAAATCAGGCACATGCAGCTGCTCCCTCAGCCATCTCTGCCAGTGAGGCAGAGTGCTGGTGGCCCATCCCAACACTGACTCTGGTTTCTAGTTAATACATACACAGCCACACCACAGCACCTGTGAGACACTTCCAGGTCTGAAGAAGATGAAAACACATACATTAATTGAATGTCTTTAAAAATACAGTACTTGGACATTCCCAAATCACCTGTAGCAAATACTGTAGGAGGAGAACAGCACATTGATGCAAGAGAGGCATTCTTCTGGGAAGGCCCAAGAGCAGCAGCAACAAGCACCAACACCAGCCTGTCTGGTTTCATTTGCTACACCCACTCAGTGACACAGAGAAAGCTTTATGGATGAGCAACATTAGTGGATCACTCATTCAGGCTAAGTGCAAGGCAGCATCTTCTAGTTCCCTCAACACCACTGGAGAAATATTTGTAAAATGTGAACCCCCAACTACAGCTCTAAGGAAAGTTTACCATGGTTTTAGGGTAAGAGATGAAACAGACTATCTATGAAAGGAGGATGCAGAAGAGGGGAGATCTGTTTTAAGTGGCAAAGAGAAGAAACAGAATGAAGAGACTACTCAGCTTCCCATGGCCCAGCAGACAAGGAAAACAAAGTTACAGAAGAAACTTCAAGGGAAAGTAACTAAATGAAGGAAAAAAAGTAATTATGTACAAAATGACTTTGAGAAACTCCATACTATGGCATATTGCAGAGGTTGAAAGGCAAACAGATTGAAGAAAATTAGGCAAAATAGAGAACAAGGGCTATTAAACACAATGTCATATCAATCTGCTGGAAATCTCAATATCAAAATTTTACAAGAAACAGACTCAACAGAACTTTATAATGCTTTCTTTCCCAAGGTGTCTGCTGCTTACTATTATCAGAGACAGCAACTGGCCTAATTGAGTAAGGTAAATCATCTGAAACTACACATACTCATAACCCATTAATTCCTCTTGTGCCATGGATTTCACTGTTTTTTAATTCATCACTTTCTAATCTGACCTCCGTGGACTACAGATTGGGTAGGTGTCTATAAGGCTGTGATAAATATTGAAATGAGTATGTTTATCAGATAAGACTTTGATTATGATGAGCACAATCTCTGCTGACACCTGACATACTGTTGCCCTTAAAATTTGTTGATTGCTGTTCACAGAACTATTCTGGTCAAAATTATTAAGTAAAAGATTAGATCATTCCCAATGTACTTGAGTTGCTGATTTTTAGTTTTTTAAGGAGAAATCAAATAAACAGTTGTACAAATACAGCCTATACCTTAGAGCCCTATCCACTTGGGATTTTCTTTTGGGTTCTCTTCTATTCTACAGAGATTTAATCCCTTTAATAACTAAACTTCCAATTCCATGTCTCAAGTTTTCCCAAAGCTGGATAACTAATAGGGTCCTCATGTGATTCTTACAGGTTTATTATCTCAAATCTTTCCAAGATACACATCTGAAGTTATTCTGCCTCTCTCCTCCCTCATAAGGAAATAACTCAAAACCTCCAGCCAGCACTGTATTGCTGCACGCTTGAATTCTGCAAGCTAAACGCTCAAAAACCCACCTAAACTACTTAGAAAAATGTAACCATGCTTAAACTTTGCCCAAACAAAGCCCAAACATGATAGTGATCCATCTCATCTGAGCCATCAATTTCACTGGTGAAATCCATCTGAGGTTGTCTTTTCCAACTGCAATGGCAAAGCACAATGCATCACAGCCCTGCTAACAGCACAGAATCAGGTGGGAGGAGAGGCTGATGCTGGTTTTGTGTAGAAAAGAATTGCTAAGCCCTGACCCCTCGAAGACAAAGCGATGGTGCAAGAGTAGTCAAGGCCAAAGCTCTATTTGCAGAAAATCAATGGGTTATGCACAATAGCAGCTGCACTCAGATGTTCACAGCTCAGCTGGAGTCTGTAGATCTGGTCTCTAAATTCAGAGTATTTGACATTGAAAACTAGGAAGAAAACCCCAAAAAACAGTCCTCCCCTCCCCCCATTTAAAAAAAAAATTAAACGGTCGTAACAGAAGAAAGCTTTGATCTAAAATTCTTGAAATTGAGATGAGTGAATCCCTTCTCTTTGCCCCTCCTTATGATCTTTGGTAGCCAGCCAAATGGCTCAGCTTAGCTTTACTTTCCACATCAGTCCAAAAGTTGAATAAGTAATAAAACTTGCATGAGGAGAGGGCTTTATAATCACATTAGAGACATGCAAGGGAGACCGGTTACCTCGGTTCACCGGACAGCTTGAACAAGGCTTCATAATGAGGGACAGGTGTTGGCACCAATTAGGAACACTCAGCTCACCACTGACATTGGCCCCTCAAAGCATTGACTGCACTTTAATCCTCTAAACCACATAAAAGAAAAGCAGAGTGGGCAGACAAAAAAAAAAGTCTAAAAATGCCTCTGCAGTGAATTGAAATATTTTTGCTTACTTAAGGGAATAAAATAGAGTCACAAAGCTGCAGAAAGTTCACTATGAAGTATCTTGAATATATAAAGAATCTAAATCTTCTGTACAAGCAGTGTATCTAATTTTAGGAAGGGTATCACCATGCATTCATCATAACTATCAGAATTTATATCCAGAAAAGAATCACAGAATAAAAAGGAATAGAAGCAGCACATGTAAATACTGAAGTAAGATAAAATTATTCCATCTATGCCTACTAGCATTTCAAACTTTATGGGATACACAAGACAGATTTTAACTGAGATTATTAAGGAGTCCTGCAGGCTGAAAAGTTACTGTTAACAGCTTCTTTTATGACTTCCTCCCCTTTAAAAGACTTTATATTCCTTTAAAATTCAGAAAGCTTTCATTCAAAAGGTGATATTTGAAAGTTGAAGGTATATAGATTCAATTTACACATTGTAAACACCAACACACACATTTATTTATTTATTTTTAAGTATCAGTTCCTCCCTCACTTACATGCCAGGTCATGAGGTAGATGTTTTCGCTTCAGCTGATGACATCACAAGCTCCTAAAAAAATGAAAGGAGTGCTTTTAGGTAGTAGGAGTGACATCAGGCATTTCATGTTTGAGCTACAATTTAATTTTTGGCAAGTAAGTGAAGGTTGTATTAAATTTTTATTGCAACTTTCCCAAGCAAATTATATGTCCAGAATATAAAGCCTTAAATTCCACAATTCTCATTTGATATGTGGAAAAATGAAATGTATCAGCTACATGTGCACATACTATGATAAAAATGCAATAAGTACTACAGCTAAAAACAAATTTATAAGAATATTCTCAAAGTTGATTTTGCCATCCTCTTAACATGAATGGGAACCAACTTTACCAAAACCAACAAAATGAAATTTTAATTAGTGTTTTCTCTATCCTGTTTTGGGAATAAAACCACTTCAACAAACACATTCAGATGGATGCACACATTCAGCTGACTTAAGGTAGTGATTTCTCCTCATACACGGATGCCTTCTTCATTCAAGAGGGTCTTCTATGAACCACACATGCTTAGAAATTCACAGGAGGGCAAACTAAATAAGCATAGAGGGAAAGCTCCATGTGGCTCCTGATTTAATTCCCCACGACATTCCTCCAGACCTCTCCTTGACAATCCCGAATAGCTTAGCTTCCCTGGCAGGGATTCTGCTTACTCGCCCTTTTTAATCTAGTCCTGAGCCTTGAGCAATATTAAATATGGGAATAGAAGGAGTTTTTCCCCTCTACCAAGTGCCCACATTCCCCTCCTGCAGGATGATGCACATGTACGTTTTGTGCTCTATTGTAATGCACACGGCAAAGGCATTAAAGCTGTCACACCCAGCAGATGAGTCGCAGCACTCCTCAGAGATGTCAGCAGCCCAACCAAGGGCTGTCCTGGCAGGCAGTCTGCCCCATGCCTTGGAGCAAGAAGTTAACAAAAACAAGACAGCTATGAGCTGTGCAAGAAAGTATTAGAGAGCAAAGATGCAAGTAAAAACCAAGGAAGTGATAACTGCATACCCTGCCAGAAGAAAAAGAATTTCAAAAGGGGATATGACAATGTTTTTCTAACTGAAATAAGGCAGTTTCTGGCCGAAGTGTCAGCACCATACTCTAACATCTGCGCTCCTCCACCCATCTGGAGTACAAGAAAGATACAACCACCCATCCACTGAGGAGTGGCACAGATCCCATTACTTATTACAACTATTGTTGCTCAACTTAGGCTGTGGCATCAAAAGAAAACATTTCCTTACAATCTGAGGGGGGCAGGGTGGTGGGGAAGAAAAGGGGAACACATAATATATTACAGCTCCTGTCTGTTGACTATGCAAAATATGCAAAATTTTGAAGTTTTGTCTGTACTAATTCTCTTTGATTTAAAGTTTCACTTTTAGGTGTTTTTTGTGTTTCTGTGTTTGGTGTTTTCTTCTGATTTTTTTTTTTGGGGGGGTGGGGATGGGTAGGCAGCAGAGGTTCTTGGTTGGTTTGGGGGTTTGTTTCTTTTTTTTTTACATCTTCCTAAGTTCCTCTTCCCATCTTTCTGACATTCTCTGGCTATACCCCACATTAAGCAATTAACTTTGAGCAACACAAGATCTGTAGATCAAAGCAGTACCAGAGCCAAGGTTGCTGAAACATGAATCACACTATGTGGGTCGGGTTTTTAACTTGAGATAAGCAGACACACTCAGCCACCACCGCCACCACACATGTGGTCCGAAGCAATCCAGAGGTCCCTCCCAGCTCCATCCAGAGGGACCCAGCCCAGGGGCAGCAGGAACACCTGGCACTCAGGGAGTGGGGGTGACCAGAGGGGCTCGCTTTAACAGCCCACTGCTGCTCTGCTGGTACTACTGTGCCTCTACCCTCCAGCTAAGAAATGCCAAGAGCCTCACCCACAAAATGCACTGGAGGAAGGAGAGCAAGTGAAGAAAATAAGTAAATAATTAATAAATGGCTGGCTAAGTTCTCCAAACATGACTTTGAATGAATTTTTCTTATGACATATTTCATGATGGGATAATTCTTTAATGTCCCGTTTGAACCCATTTAATGTAAGTTTTCCATAGAAACACAAGCAAAGCCCTGGTTGTAGCAATTCAAATGGCATCATTAAAATGCAACACAGCCTACAACTTTTAAGTGTGAACAAAACCGCAGCTTTTGCCTCCCAGCTGAACCACAAAACTAATATATTTTTGAACTCTTCATTAAAAACACATTTATTTGCTCAGTCAAATGC